GTTTCCATCTCCAATCGAGTTAAATCAGAATTGATGATTAAAGATATGCATGGAAGAAGTCCTAGTAGAGTCTAGGGAAACTTATATGATTGTTTGGACACATTTGTATGTGTTAAAATTGTTTTTGTGATAATAACTTGGAGAACTGCGAGTCAATATGTGGGACGAGTATGAGTAGGTGTGAAAGAAAGGTAGTAGAGGCTTATACTACCGGAAGCACATGACTCACACTTGGATCAGGGAAATTCACAAGGTTACCAAGAAGCTAGTAATTAATTTCGTTTTGTTCAAGTGTGTCGTTACCATTGTTCCGGTAATGCCTAAGAAGATGATTGTTATTCCGACCCTAGTGCTCATGTTAAATTGAGTCTGGCTAAGATACGTATGTTACGTGGTACAAAGAACCAAGTTCGATGTAGCATCTGAATTAATCCTGAAGATTGAAGTGAAAGGTAATCGAAGCGATCAATAGAAGTATCGTGATCGTTGTTAAGGTACGAACTCTTAGCTAGAAGTGATATGCACTAGAATGTGATTATATCACATTAAAACATCCCATTCCAGAATTTGACTCTCAAGGAACTGAGTCTAAGCGTTGCATCATACGACATGAGGTCATTAGAACATGAGCAATCGATCTGACATGATAATCGAAGTAAAGGACTTCTCTTAAGTTAAGTTTGTTTAAGAAGAAGTAGGAGTCTCCAATAAGGATCGGTTTTGTAACTCGAAGGTTACAATTGAAAGTCCAACATAGTACGAAGAGCAGGTACAAGATTAAGCACTATCAGCAGTCAAGAAGTCCAAGAGCTAGATACTCATTCGAAGGAACATAAGAGTTATGGTTATTACCTAGTATGAAAAGATAATGTATGGAGTCATTATATAAGTCGTGTTTTGTTGATGATTCTGGGACATAATCATCCTAAGGGGGAGATAATTGTAACGCCCGCAGATTCGGGCTAGTCAATTTAGAGACAATAAGCATCAAAATTGACTTTTTGATGGAAGATTATTTAGAGTAAATAATCTTAAGCAAGTTATAGTTTATGTCACAATGGTTCTGTACATATAAAGAAGACTGAAACCTGAGTAATAACGAAGATGTTATGACTGGTCGAAGTTTTATGACAAAACCGACACGACATCGCGTAACTTAAAAAGTGAATTTTTGATAAATTACTTTTTAGCCTTAGCGATCTAATCAAAAGGTGTAATATATGTTAAACCAAGAACATGCATAAAAAAACATCATAATCTGACTTCGTATGAGGAAGTTGTGATTTTTCTAAAATTTAGCATTGCAATGCACAATCCAAAATTCGAATTTTAGATCGATCGATTTTTAACCGACAAAACCTAAATTAGAATTGAAGATCTCATTAATAGGACCTCAACGACATAAAGACAGTGGAAAACAGAGTTTGTATGTAGAAGTTATGAATTTTACACGGTCGTTAATAGTGTAGTATTCTCATATTATTAAATTTAAAATTGGTCAAGATGTAGCCGATGGAGTCAAAAGGAGAATTGTACATCTTGTCAATACCTACGCGTGGATATAAATAACATCAAAAACGGAATTCGTATGCGAAAGTTACGAAATTTAGAAGTCGGAAGGGTGCTGCTGCGAAAGGGGTTACGTGGCTTAATCTAGACCATTGCTTTCTCCACACGCCTTGCCACCAGATGGTGACATGTGGCACAAACTCGACGAGTTGGAGGATCAAACTCGATGATTTTGGCCATTTTCTAGCCTATACATAGGATGCAAGAACACCCCATTTTCCTCATACCATAACCCTTCTTTCTCTCTCTCTAACTTCTCTCTAAACCTCTCCCACAGCCCTAGTAAATCCTAATTGCTAGAGGAAAGCCCCAGAGCGCTAGAAGGCTCTGAGAAGAAGAGCTTCGACTCGGAAGTTCATGCCCCCGCAGAGCCTGGTTCCTCATTAAACCCCTGTAAGTTGAGTTATGCTTACCGTACTTTACGTATAACCTATGTTTAAGTTCATTATCGTTATTATGAACCTATAAACAAGATTTATCAGTGATTCCAAGTCGTTATACTGATTAATCTACTTACGGGGATGATGTCTAGGCTGTGATTTAGTGAGGTGTTTAAAGTGAGATTTCCAAATAGTATACTTTGTATACCAAACATACCCTACCTCCGATATGATCCTACATGGTTTTCCTTACTTGATAGATCATGAAAGTAGACTTTAGGTTAATAATGAATCTAGACTAATAATTAGTCACAATAAATCTTAGACTAAAACATAGCGATAATAATGCTAGGTTTCGTCGAAGGAAAATAGAATCGTTAGAAGCGAAGCGCTGCTCGAGTTTGGAATCATCACTTTAATTAGTGAGTGCATAGTTAGTTTCATCTTACACATAGATATGAAGTATTTAATATAAATTACGTGTTATGCGTGCATATTATCTGTGTTCTTGACATCTATGTTTGATGAACAAAATATACATGTTTTATTCGATTTAAGTTGTATATTTATTTTATACCTATAATTATGATGTGTAAAGATGGGTAGATTAGAGATGAGATGAGAGATGAAAGATGAGATGAGATGAGAGATAAAAGATGAGATGAATGATGAGGGATGAAAGCTGATATAGATGATGAGAGGTGGAAGATGATGAGAAGCGATGGCCCAATCATCTAGCAGAGTATAGATGACAACCACAATCTATTCTAGACATTCCATTGGAACACTAGCAGGCTCGCAACCTGTATGTGTTGTGAACGATATGTTCATCAGATGTACTCTAAAACCCCATTGACATGTATTGTGGGTGGACTCCCTAAAATAATATTGTCAATAAAAGAGATAAACCCTGGCACCTATGGACTTAGTGCCTAACAAATAACCTCGGCAGCTATGAACTTAGTGCATGTTTTATAAACCCTGGCAACGATGGATTTCGTGCCTATCCCTTAGGATAATCCTTAGGAATGAATGAGTGAATGATAGATGATTCTTAGGGTAGACCCTTAAGAAATAAATACGATAATGAGGATGAATAATTGAGTTAATTGTTTGGTGATGAAACATAATAACTTTATTATTGTGGGTTGAAACCCTATGTACTCACTATGTTTCCCAACTTGACTCACTCAGTTTATTTGTATCACAGACGTTGATACGAAGCTACTTTACACTGAGAGATTAAAGAAGATGTAAATCACTAGTGTAAATGAATGTAAAGTTTGTTTATGCTTATGTTTCTGTATTAACGATGACATCCCAAAGTTTTAATATAAACAACATTTCTTCATAAATGCTTTGATAATATTATTATCATGTTTTTCTAGGAACAAATTCCACAATATTATTCTTTAAAATGAATACTCTGATTTTCAAATAAAAATAAATAAAATTTTTAAATGGACCGTGAATTTGAGGATGTCACAGAAACTCACTAAGCTTCATGCTTATGGTTTTCAGTTTATATTTCAGGTATTTCTGGTGCAAAATGGAAGAGCTCGGGGTGATTGCAGTGCACACACGATATAGTTATGTATTTTCATGATAGATATGATAATTTGTGATGCTTAATACATTTGATCTTTTTGAGATTTATGTTGATGTTTTAGGATAATGTTTTATTAATTGAAAAATGAAAATTTCGGATTTTATTTTTGAGACGTTACATTAAATCTCTTAACCATTATTACTTCATTTCACAAGGATTAAACTTTGTCTCCTTAAGGACTAAAACCTTTACACAATCGACTTTCAGCCACAACCCTGAAATAAGAAATGACAGGAAGTAGGATATTACATTATTATATTAGAAAAATAGGATATGATATTTCTGTTGCCAAACCATTCGGTGGTGAGAATCAATGATTTTTTGTTGTTAAATTTCTTGACTTGCTCTTGCTCTACACGTTTTCTTGTTCATTATTTTGTTGTTATGGTCATGATTTTTTTGCTGTTGTTGTGCAAGGATTGCTACAAACTATTGTGTGAGGTCTTTTAATGTTTTTACAGGGAAAACTTTTGTTGTTGGCTATTACTTTTTCAATGTTCCTATAGAATTTGTTCATGTTGTGAGTTATATAATCTAGTATACAATTAGAAAAATAGGATATGATATTTTTGTAGCCAAATATTTTTGTAGCGAAACCTTTCGGTGGTGAGAATGAATGATTTTTTGTTGTTCATTTTCTTGACTTGCTCTTGCTCTACACGTTTTCTTGTTCATTATTTTGTTGTTATTATCATGATTTTTTTTGCTGCTGTTGTGCAAGGATTTTGTTGCTCCAAACTATTGTGTGAGGTCTTTTATTGTTTTTACATGGGAAAACTTTTGTTGTTGGCTATTACTTTTTCAATGTTCGTAATAGAATTTGTTCATGTTGTAAGTTATATAATCTTAGTATACAATTATATCGCATTATTATACATGTATTTGGTTTCTCATATTAAGATAACTTCATAACTTGACATATTTGGTAGCATGGATATCAATTTCATTGGTGGGTTCCAGTAGGAACACTTGGCACACCAAAGTGATGGTTTGTATATGCTACTATAGAAAATACATGTGAAATTTACACCACAAATCTTTGATCAAAGTACTTGTGTGAAAGAGACTTCATTTTGAGCCAAAGGTCATCAAGATTTAAGTATCTTCGATCAACATTATGGGAAAAAAGGGAAAGGAATATTCATCTTTGTTGTCAAATATGGTTGATGGTGTCCAAAGAAAGCAAGAAGTTCTCAAGTCACACAACGAACCCTTAAACATATATATTATCTATTATGGATTAATGGTTCTTTGTATTGAAAAGGGCTTTGTGCTTGTATGCGTCTTTTTTGAAGAATGATTGTAACTTACATCATTTTGTAAATTATTTATAAATATTTTATAAAAAATATAATACTATTATAAATTAATTATTATAAAAAATATTGTTTGAGACAATATAATCATTTTACATGATCATTCTAAAGTCAGCTTCTAATCAATGGAGCAACTATCAAACAAAAAACACATGTCCATAATTTAATCCTGATTATCAAATATCAATAAAAATCCTAATCTTTCTCCTTGTTCACGAATCCCCGTTCTCGACCGTTGATCACCTTCCGCTTTCTAATCTCGACCTTCAGTTGCATCAAAATAACCCTCCCAACTAACGAGCCTCTTCTTTTCTCCCCTCTTGTCGCCGGAAAAGATGGCCGCGGCCGCCCCTTCCACTGCCGCTCTTCAAAATTCTCTGGTCACATTTCAGTCTCGATCACCAAGTTCTAATTCCACTAATCCAGCAAATCTTTCGTTCTCCGGCGGCCTAAGACTCCCGAAGATAACAATCAAAACAACAAACAAATCCCGGCATGGCGGCGGTTACACCGGTGCCAAAATGGCCGATTCCGCGGCCGGAAGCTACGCATCTGCCTTGGCGGAGGTCGCGAGATCAAACGGAACCCTAGAGGCAACCGCCGCCGACGTCGAGAAGGTCGATAAACTCTTCTCCGACAAACAAGTGTTGAACTTTTTCGTTAGTCCAATCGTAAGTCTAGAGCAAAAACGAGAATTGATCGATGATATAACATCTTCGGGGAGCCTCCAACTACACGTATGCAACTTCCTCAACATCTTGATCGAAAGAAATCGGATCGATTTGATTAAAGAGATAGTAAAGGAATTCGAGATTGTTTACAATAAGTTGACGGAGACGGAGTTGGCGATCGTGACTTCCGTAGTGCAGCTGGAGAGGCAACACTTGGCGCAGATCGCAAAGCAAGTGCAGAGACTCACCAGAGCGAGAAATGTGAGGATTAAGACGGCAATTGATGAGTCATTGGTGGCCGGATTCACGATCAGATATGGAAATTCTCAATCCAAGTTGATTGATATGAGTGTGAAGAAGCAATTGGAAGAAATTGCTGCACAGCTTGAGATCGGAGATATTCAAATTCCAGTATGATATAATTCGCAACTTTTTTTACAAATCTATGAAGAAGACACATTACTCGTTTTTTACTTTTCACTAGAGTTCATTTTTTCAAAACCCTAATTTAAAATGACAAAATAACCATGTGGTTTAACACATATTTTAGGTGTATTGTTGGCAAACACTAGTCTTTTTCTTTTTGTATAATTTAGGTGCCAACCTTTTGTATGTAATTCTAGACCTGTGTGTTATAGCAACCTGCAATAACTTTTTATATGTTGTAAGTAGAATTTATTATCATTATTAATGCTTAATGCTGTTAAAAAAACCTGTCAATTTGTGGCTGAAAGTACAAAAACATGAAAATATATTGCTATAAAATGTCACCTGCAGGTTTGACTTTTCTGTAAAAATAAAGTATATTGCTATAAAACGTTACATGAAGGTTTGACTTTGTTTTAAAAATAAAGTATATTGGTATAAATTGTTAAATGTAGGTTCTACTTTCCCTAAAATCAAAGTAGATTGCTTTAAAATTTTATTTTTATAGACATGTCAAAAATCTGCAAAACCAGGTTGAATCTATTTCGTTTAAGTTGTGATATGTTAGAGGTGTCATAAATTCTTAAAACCAGGTTGAATCTGTTTGCTTTAAGTAGTGATATGTTCGATTTGAGAGCGTGTTGACAGAAATGCCCCTTGAAACTAAATTGCAAAGTGTTGTAGGCATGAAACTAAATCATTGAGCTGACAAAAATTCTTAAAATGAGGTTGAATATCTTTGCACTAAAATGTGACTATTACACGTAATTGAAAATATTACCAAAGAAATATGCTATGAATGACATTAAAATGAAAGTAGAAATGCTATAATTCACATTAAAATGAATAAAAGTATGATACTATAATTGATGGTCATAACATTCAAATTTAAGATAAAATAGTTTGAATGACATTAAAATGTAAGTATAATGCTATAAATGACACTGAAATGGTAGATATTACATTTTTATTATTATTATTATTTATTATTATTATTTTTTTAAGATTGACTTACACATGCACACACTATTCTACTTCTAAATTTACACCCTTCGTCTGCAGCGATACTAGAACCCTCAACATTTTGGCTGAGAGGCACCTATTCGTCAACTCAAGACCCTTTGGTGGCGATATTACATTATAAAGGCATCTGTTCACTTTTAACAACTACAAAATATCGTCAATATTACATTAAAAGTACTTGTAATTCAACCTCTATATACTATTTATTTGGAAGTTCAAGGTCAAACCATTCAAAGAACTCACATCATTTCTTTGGATTCTAGATAATGAAAAGAGTACACAGAGATTATAAGAAATGGATGTTATTCTTCAAATTATTGGGAATCAAGTTACTTACTAAATAATTGAGGCAATATACAAATCTTCTCCTAAAATCTTTATCGTCCAAATGTCTTCATTCTGATTGGATTTGGGCGGTAGTATCGAGATGAAGGGTTATATGTCTTGATTTACTTTCCAAGAATATAAGAAGAAGATGACAATGAAGAAGGTTTTCTCCTTGATGGCTAAGATTTGGAATTTTAGGTTGAAGGTTTTGTTACAGGCTCTCTTTTGCTTTGCTCGATTAGAAGAAAATGATAATACGAATAAAGAATGGGGGAAGGAGAATCATATATGTTTTTAAGGTTAAAGAAATGACATGGTTATGTATTTCAAAATGAAATTAAAATAAAACTTAATAGGAAATACAATTAAAATTGTGAGTTCAGTTGGATAACATAAAGCCTTAAAATATATCTTTGATTAACCTTTCAATTTCAATTTCAAGTATCTTCAAACCTTTATGAATATTTAAAGTAGTTTGTTGATTTTATGATAGTCATGCATGAAGAGGATTAAACATCATCCAACTTTCTTAACTTAACAAGAAATTTATGATATTTGATTGTTATACGCATGGTTGTAAAAATCGGTCTAGGCAGCCGATTAATTGGCGCCTAGACGCTTGGCGGCTTCCAACCGCCTACGAATAGGTGTTAATGGGTTAATTAATCGGCCTTGGTCAATACTGGTCAAAATCGGTCCAATTTGGTCCAAATCAGACCAACTAGGACACCAATAGTGATCCCAACCCACTCTAAAGTCGCCGGGCCAATGGAGCCAACAACACAAAGAGCAATTATTTTACATTTCAATGGGGATCGGCGCACTTTTTTATAGAATATTTCTACCTATTATTTTCCCGCACCAGCGATGTGGGATGTGGGAGTGGTGGTTGAATAGCTCTTATTCTCTTTTTCTTAGTTCACGTAACAGGTGATTAAAGGTTTGAGCTTCGGTTTTCAATGGTGGTTTAACTTCTCAATTCCTGGTAGGATTCCTTCCGATTTTGCCATTCCATCGCATTCAATCTAGCTCTGGCTCCTCCAACGACAACAACTTTGACTCCTCCCCTGCTCACTACCGTAGCCATCCTCTCCGACTTCTGCCCTTGTCTTTGTTGTTCAGTCTTCTGCCATCGTCTTTTGCCACGAATATGTTTTCGGGAACTATACTCAAAGCGTTGGGAGTCTGCTCTTAAGGTAATTCTTTATCGAGTTCTCAAAGGGTTAGTCATCATCTCTAACTTCACACCTATTTTGAAGTTTGTGTAATTGAATCCATTTCTTAGGTTCATTGTTAAGGTTGAGTTCACAACTATTTCACACCTTTTATGAGATTACCGTTTCTCAGGTTCATTGTAATTGAATGTCATAGGATGTTTCTGAACGTCATAGGATGTTTCTACATCAATTGAATCCGACTTCACACGTATTTCAAAGGATTGATGCATACAAGCTCTTTGATGAAAATCCTCATAGAGTTCATTGTTGTTCTTGGTGGAAGCAGACATAAATGTTGATTAAGGACTTTAATATGATGAATCTTTTTCTTAATTCCTAACTTTACTCTTGATTAGTATCCAATTCAAGTCCTTCAACATTTAAAACCCTTACAAACCATGAGCCAAACTATAATGATATAAATCGCAGTTGGCAACACTAATGCTATCAAGATCTTAATGAATAAACACCATATGCTTTTGTATGCTGAATAGCAAGGAAGGCAGATGCCTTATAAGGTGGATGGAGCCACAATTTATTTGATAGCTAAATCTATAATTGTGAAATGTTGAATTGTTATTTATTTATTGTTATTGTAAAATGTTGAATTGTTATAATTTTATATTTATTAATGTTATATTTTTAGTATTTATGTTATATTCATTAATTTTTAATAATTAATAATCCCGAGTAATCCTCCCATTAATCCCCACCTAACCTATTAATCATTTGATCACAATCCACCACCGATTAGTTTTTGCAACCTACGTAATCATCTATAAAAAAAAATAATAATAATAAAAAAAAATTGTGTTAGAAAATAGGTTTCTTTACAAACAACTAAACCGGATTATATTGTCCGGTCGCCGTTCCGATGTCAGCATATTGTGACTGAGACATCTTTACCAGCTTTGCTCTTCTCGACGAATGTTTTCTGTTCGCAGCAGCCATGGCCAACTTTCTAAGGCATTTCTCATCAATTCATCTTCCTATTTCCTCAATCTCCTTCACTGCTCAACAACAACGACCTCTCCATCCACCGATCTTCAACCGCATTTCATGGTGGATTACCTTATCGATTCCCTCGGATTCACCAAACAAGAAGCCATCTCCGCCTCCGCAAAGGTACGCCACTTAAAGTCCACCCAGAACTCCCAATCCGTCATCGAGTTCCTTAGAAACTATAATTTATCCGAAACTGACATTAAATCCGTAGTTCTCTCTCATCCCCAAATTCTATTACGGAAAGTTGATAAAACCCTAGAACCCAAATTTAAGATTCTTTTTGAAATCGGGTTTTCGGGACCGGATCTGGTAGCTGTCATTAAAAAGGATCCGAATCTTTTAGTTAGAGGTTTACATACATCTATCATACCGGCTATCAATCTTTTAAGGAGAATTTTGGGCAGTAAAGAAAAAATTGTTAAAGCTATAAAACGTTCACATTGGCCTTTCTATGGGAAGTTCTTCAGAAGCAATGTGTTATTACTGGAAAAACACGGGGTTTCCATCAAGGACATCGAGAGGGTTATAATTAGGAACCCTAGATTGGTTACTCAGAGCCCTGTGAGGGTAGAAGCGAAACTTCTTGAAGTGGAAAGGGAGTTTGGGATTACCCCACGTTCAAAGATGTTTTCTTATGGGCTTTCTGCTGTTTGTTCCATGAATCAGTTGAATTTGCAGAAGAAATTTGAGGTGTTTAAGAGTTTCGGGTGGTGTGATTCAGATATCTGTATCATTGCTAAGAGTCAACCGATTTGTTTTACACATTCTGAGGAGAGATTAAGTAAAGGGTTGGATTTCTTCATGAAAGAACTTGGTTACACACCTTCATGGTTGGCCACTCGTGGTAGTCTTTTGATGTATAGTTTGGAGAAAAGGGTGAAACCGAGGTACCAAGTGTATATGGTTTTGAAAGAGAAAGGGGTGAACAAGGAGTTTCATTCCATGTTGTGCTTATCTAATGTAGATTTTGTGAAGCAGGTGGTGGAGCGTCATAAGGAAGAGATCCCTGATCATATGTATGACACTTTTACCAAATTCTTGAATCCATAGTAGAAGAAGATCTTATTTTTGAATCTTACAGTTTCAGGTGATTCATTTTTGCATTTCTTATAATTGTTGTTCTTTCTTTTCATTTGATTTTGAATATGAGATGATAGCAGTGTTGAATCTTACATTGTTAGGGTTTTTCCTTCTTTGATCACGGTATGGGTATAGGTTAACTAAGGAAAATTATTTTAGAAAAGCTGCAACAAGCTTATAATGGAGGTTTCCTTCACAATTGTTTACCATTTTGTTTACCTTAGATTTCATTGATGAGATTGGGGATAAACGGGTTTAGCTTATGTTTTTCACATTAGCATACTTTAATTGTTGATGATAAACTCGAGATATAAATTGGAGTTATGTCTTGTAAAAATGGTGGAATGTTTTCTTTGATAATATTGTTGATGTACTTTTACCTTTTTATTGCGTAATTTAAATATATATCATCAAATCGATCATGGTAGTTATGTAGAGCAATATGATTTTGAATTTTCTTGTTTGTCAAGAGCTAGAGTATCAATGGTTGCAGAAGTTTCTCACAACTATAGAGATGAAGAACGTGTGTATTGGATACGAATAAAAACCAAAGTAAAATGAAATTTGAAAAACAAATGAAAATGATAAATTTTGGAAAATAACAAAAATAAATTCCAAGCGAAAATCCTGATGTATATCTATTACTATTTACCACTGTTGTAAAAATCCCGATTAGGTCCCGATTAATCTCCGATTAATCCCTAGGCGCTACTCGACTGATTAGAGGGAGCCTAACGATTAATCCTTGCATACATAATGAGTGAAACATTATAAAACGATGAAATTTTAACATTTTGAAGAAATTTTATCTCAATAGAAACTATTTGAGGCATGATTAATGTTGTATTAATCATATTAACCTATTTTGTTATCAAATTAATGGTATTTACGAGATATGATATTAGTCATATTCTTTTTTCTAAAATTCAACAAATTATCAATTAATGGTACCCGATTAATCCCCCCGATTAATCTCCACCTAATCGATTAATCCCTTGATCCCAGTCCACCGACTAGTTAACGTCGAACGATTTTTGCAACCTTGCTATATACTACTCAAAAGTATGTGAATATTTTAATTGTACTTCTCAAAAGTAATTGACTATTTATTTCATTAATTATAGTTCTCAAAAGGCCGGTAGCTAATGATGTTAGGATCATTGGCATCAATAATATTTGGGTAGCTATTAATGATGTTAGGATCATTGGCATCATGGTATGCCGTGTATAATCTACTATAATAAATGAAGGTTTTTTTGCCACATGTCATCTTCTCATTCATTTGGACACATGATATTTTCTAAATTTTCTATTTTCCACTTGTCATTTTATTGTATTTTTCATTTTATTAATTTAAAATTTCACATTTAATGTGTAAGGTAATATATATATATATATATATATATATATATATATATATATATATATATATATATATATATATATATATATATAAAGTATTTATTAGAAAGAGTTTATATATAGAATGTATTCAATACATTAAAGTCTCATTAATTTTAATAATTCAAATTTTTCTCATTTTTGTTATAAATTCAAACTTTTCAAATTGTTAAAATTTTATATTTGTTTTTTTTAATTAAACCCATATAATACATGGGTTTCACACCTAGTATAACAACATTACTTGTCAACACAAACCGAGCTAGTTCAAGACCCAACCTAATTGTCTATTGACTTAGTCCAATAGAACACTTTCTAGTTCAAGAGAAAGTGGCCCTAATTTTGAGACCTGAGCTCCAAGGTACTCAATACACCTCCCATCAAGATCATGTCCACAATCTAGATCTAACATCAAGCCATAATTAATTTTTCGAGTTTTTTAAATTGACATGTTTGACAAATCAAAAAGTAATTTATAAGTTCGTTTAAAAAAAAAATTACTCATACTAGCGTTTTAATGAGTTTACTGAGCTTTTACATATTTTAAATTTTATATTATTTTACATATTTCAACTAACTTATCATTTAGTTTCTCAAATATTATTTTTATCAACTATTTTTTCAGTTAGACAGATAAACATAATCTAAAACAAAAAGTTGTATTGTACTCGATGAAGCTTAACATACATACTCTTTCTTATATAATGTAATCACTCCATTAACTTCTTATCTACATTTTAATCGAGAAAATGAGTAGCTAAACACTAAAAATATTACATATGGGAAAATGCCATGAAGGGTTTCGCTAACCAAATAAAGCATAACTATGTTGTTTCAAAATTTTGAGATGACCTAAAAGGTAGTTAAAACAACGGCCTTTAAACATTGTTTTATAAACTTACTCAATTTTGGGTTATTCACAAGGAAGAATGTGAAATGAAATAGAGGAAATGTCGATAGAAGATGAATAAGAACCCTCTCCCTCCCACCTCAACGACATATCTTTTAACACAATCTCATTAGTCATCCAACATAATACAAAAGATGGTACCTTTCGACATCTCTAGGATAAATGATTCAATGTACCATTCGATCTAAGTTAAGGTGAGTTGAAATCCGATCCAATCCAATCCTTCAAACTATGATATTGATTTTGATTGGAGGTGGATCTCAACTTACCTAAAAAACCAAAATCTTAATTCGATAAGACTTTTAAAAGAGAGACCGTAAAGTTACCTGTAGAAGTCAATTGCCAACCACAATGGTCTTCAACATTAGAAATAAGAAAAACCATTAAGATAAATATCCATGTCTTCTAATTAAGAGTATTCATGACCTTGTATTGGATCACAACGTCACTACCATGGCCTAGAGCATGCATGGTGACAAGAAGCCACCATACACTTCTTATCGGTCTCTAAGGTGTAAAAGCTAGATTATGTTGTATCAAATATAATCCATATCCAAGTTCTACAATGTAACATCCAAGTTCTATGATGTAACTTGAATCTCCTCCGAGCCAAACTTAGTTTTTTGTTGATGATTTTAATATCAACTGTCATTTACTTTAAAAAGAATAAGCATGAGCACCAATGGGACATGACAAGATACATATGTCTAGGAGCATTGACCCTTGCAAACCTATACAAAATTTTAAAGTTAAAATGTAGTGGACAGAAAACAATGAAAAGCAAATAACTACAATACCATGGTGCAAAACTGTAGTGCCAAATGCTAAGTTGTTAGGGCAGGGGTGCAAAGTTGTGGTGTCAGATGCATGATCCTGCTTATGCAACGAAAATTCTGAAAACGGTTTTACTTTCCTGATGACCGCTAATAACTTCCCAAACAATTATTTGTTGGTTGTTATCCAAATTCCAGTTGCATAATTATTTATACTCATATTTCACTATTTTTGGCTCACTAACGTGATCGAGCATTCCATATATTTTCTCTTGTAAGAATATTGATTTCTTTTTAAGCCGCAATAAAAAGTGTCTTTGGTGGATTATCACATGATTAAATTTTATACAACCTATGCATATAAGATCAAAATATTAATCACGGAAAATTAAAGCATACGATCCGTTAAATATCTAGATTCTCTTACCAAACTTTGTGTCGTACCCGGATTTCTTAACACCTTTATAATAACAGACTCCTTTAGCTATATCAAATTCACTTTAGACTTTAAGGCTGAAATGGACTGTATATGAAATCTGAGGGGTGCAAATGTAATTTTCTTAATTAAATTGCGTCGACGGGCTTCTCCATCCAAGCAAGTGTGAAGGTGAGAAATCAAATATCCCCAATATCTGGATTTTACCATAAAAGCTTCGCGATACGAATCTACGAAGAAGTAAACGATTTCTTCCATCTTAAGTAAGGAAACGAAATTCCACCTTTGATGATGATATATCTGTAGACGCGTATAATTCGTTCATAGTGGAGTGGGTGTGTGTGACGACACATAGGACTAGTAAATCATATTTTTTAGTTGATCCTGTTTTCTTTGATAATCCCTTTGCTCTTTTTTAATCAGACAATCCAGTGCACACATATAACTGTAATCGGAAGATCAGGAGGTGAATTCAAGATGTCGATGCTTGATTCTTTCTTCAGCAAGGGGGCGTTCAAGGGTTCAAAATGGTATTTAATTTCTACAGAATTCTCTCGAAAGATTATCTGGTTGTTCCATTTTTCAAGTTTTAGTCACTGTTTATATCCGGATTTTTCTTATTCTTGTTGATATCTATTGAAAATTTATGTGATCATTATTGTTGTACCAAAATCAGAGTATATTTTCTTTTATGGATGGATGATATTACATTAACACGACTTAGATCGCTCAAACATTGATTTTTCTTGGATGAGAACGCGACTCTCTATAGTTTTTGGTTTTCTTCTATCTCGATGTTTAAATAATTTTGGTTTCATATTGTTGAATGCAGTAAAACACTTCTGAAACTGACGATCCCACGCATAAAACTGCTGAGAAATCGTAGAGAGATTCATATAAAGCAGATGCGTCGTGACATTGCCAAACTTCTTGAGACTGGTCAAGAAGCCACTGCTCGAATCAGAGTAAAACCCCTTTGTTTCTTTGTATTGATATTATTTTTCATTTATGTAGATGTTTCCGTGAGAAGAAAAACATATGATTTGCTTTGTATTTCATGTAGTACATTTTCATGGATCTATGGTTAATATGTCTTATTTAGGTGGAGCATATTATAAGGGAAGAAAAAATGATGGCAGCTCAAGAAATCATCGAGTTATTTTGTGAGCTTGTGGTTGTTCGTCTTCCAATTATTGAAACTCAAAAGTATGTTTCGTTCTCTCTTAATGATTCAGTTTAGATTCTTGGTCATTTTGTTTTTTTCCCCTTTAATTAAGCCTTCTATTGAGAATGCTTTCATGAACTACAAGTGTGAAAGTTATGATCTGATGATTTGAATGCCAAAAACAGTTACTAGGTCAGATTTCTTGATGTGCTATCAAGAAATCTTAGTAATATATATTCTTGTTAATGTTATCAATTGCCCTGATTATCTAATTTTATGGAATCTTGTCCTACATACAATACAGGGAATGTCCTCTTGATCTGAAAGAGGCGATTTCAAGTCTCTGTTTTGCTGCTCCAAGATGTGCAGATCTTCCTGAGCTGATCCAAGTTCAGATGGCTTTTGCTGGTAAATATGGCAAAGAATTTGTTATTGCTGCCACTGAACTCCTGCCAGAGTGTGGTGTCAACCGCCAGGTCATAAAACTTAACTGTTT